ACGCCCTAACGTCGGAACGAATGCACCCCAGACAGGTAATTTTGACACAGACTGACTTGACATTCAAGGTTGACCAACTTATGGACCAGACTCAGTTTAAATTTCGATTGGGCCAAGAGCAAAAGCCAAAGAACATTGGTAAACTAACTGGCAAAACCATGTGGCACCCCCCCCGCCTCAGCCCCTTCAGCCCCTTCAGCTCTCAGGCTACGTGCGGTGCATCAAACCCAATGCCAAGAAGCAGCCCAACGAGCTGGACTCCTTGGACGTGCTGCGCCAGCTGCGCTGCGCCGGGATGTTGGAGTCCATCCGCGGCTCGGAGTTTGGAGCGTACGCGCCGGTGCCAAACAAGAAGATAGAAGCGACACATGAACACAGCAAGAATTCGGGCGATATGGTGGGTGTTTTCAGGGTTCCGGCGGTATGGAGGAGTTGGCTGCAATGAATCAAGAGGCAGTTTAGTAGAGTGTCCAGGATCCGGGCCTGGCTGAAGGAGGGCGCCCATGAGTTGGGAGATACTCCTCACAAGGGAGAAGCTTCCATGCCTCCACAACCCATAGCCGAACATGACCTTGAACTCATCCCGATATGGCACGGACAGTGACCCGAAATTTCATTCACCTCGCAGTTGGTGGGTACAGAGGGTTTCAGGGGGGAGGGGCACTTGAAATTCTCGTGGGGGAAGGGAGATCCAAGGAGGTCACTCAGAAGCCTGGGGTTTGTTCGGGGAGTGGGAAGAAATCCTGCCTGGATCCCGGAAGCAGCAATTACTTGGCCTTGGGCCCTGTATTCCCCATATGTTCAGGCCTCTGGATTGGCAACTCGGGTTGGTGGCTCTGCATTTGCGAAGTCAAGTGTCCAGCTGCAATTCCGACTGGGAATCTCTTCAGTTTTCCTTCTGGGGTTGCAGGCAAGCCAATTTGAAGCTCCCTACCCCTTCCGGAAGTGTCCCCAACAGCGAGATACCCAACCAAGTTGACGGCATGGTGGCATGGGCTTTGTGCGAAAACTCGTGGAACTCTGGAGTTTGTTCTGTCAGACATGATGACCTTTTCAAGTGTCACCTACTTTACTTGCACAGGACCAAGCACCCCACTCAAGTTGTTTTTCCTGCCGTGTGTTTCAGCCTGGACCACCACAGGCTTCCTGATATGAGGAACGCACACATCATTTGGTTTGATAAACTTGTCATTTGCTCACATATGTCCTTCTTTGGAAAGGATCGGGCACCAATGTCACAGCAAATTCCTTTCCACATAGGACTTGAGGAAGGGTTCAACTAGAAATTAAATAGAATCTAATGAGGAAAGACAAGCTGGTTGTGTCTTTCAATTTGCCTGTCCTTTAAAAGGAGAAACCTAAAAGACAAACAAAAGCTCGAGAACACCCAACAAATAATCTCGAGAACCAACACATGAAAGCAAGGACGATAAAAACTACAAAACACATGAAAACACAAAGCAGCTCGAGCAAGCACAAAAGCAAACACAACTCGAGAACAAAACAACAAATGGGGAAAACAACAAACCGAAAACCGTGTTGTTAGAACTCTTTCAACATGAGCTATTGTCCACAGAGTGCCCAACTCAGTGACTCATGGTGCTATTGTTGTTTGATTCTTTTTCTGAAGGTGTTTTTTTGTGTTTTGAGATGTTTTGGGTTTTCTCTAGTCTGTCTTGGTTTTGCTTGGGCTTGTTAAGATGTGTCCCTTGCATTGGTTGGAGTTTGGCACAGAAAGACAGCAAGCCTCAAGACGTGCATAAAGCGCACTCATTGCCAGGGTCCCCTGTTCTGCTTTTTTTTGGGGGACCCCTAACAAGGGCATCCCTTCAAAGCCAGCAAAAAGCGTACCCTCTGAAAAAAAAACAGGACTGAGACAAGTTCTGACTCCTCCGCAGGCATCCGTCGCGCGGGCTACGCAGTGCGGCGACCCTTCAAGGAACCCGAGAGACAGAGGGGAAGGGCTCACGGACGATGCCACGTAAAAAAATGGAGCACACGAAAGAGAAGGGAAACCCTCCGGATTTCTTGACTTGGTTGGTAATTGGTTGCTTTTACATATGGGCTCGTCTCTATAACATTTGGTGTCCGCGTAATCCCAAGCATGGATCCTCAACAACGAAGACACACCCACATGTCAACTATTGAGAGCTAGACCAAAATTTCACGCTTAGGGCGTTCCTTCAAGCTGTCAGCGATCCTGGCTGTTCAAGAATTGCTTTAGGCTGGATTTAGGGCTGATTTGAAGATTGATTCTACGCCGGCTTTGCTTGATTTCAAGTTTAGGGTGGCTTCTAGGGGTGGCCTTTTTTTGCTTGTTAGCTTTAAGGCCGGCCGTAAGGTTGAGTGGCTTTTTGGGGTTGGTTTTCTGGATGCTTAGGGTAGGTTCCCTCGTTCCTTTGACGGAAACGGTCGGCGCCTCGGGAGGAGTTCTTCGCTCGCTTCCGGATCCTGGCGCCGCAGCTGGTGCCGGGGCCGGATCCTGACTACAGGACTTCAGGGATTTGGGGGGGGGGGGGCACCACTTGGAGCTGTGGGGGGGGTGGGGGGTTTGGGGTTTGGGGTTTCGTGGGCTTCAGTGCGGGGGGGGGGGGATCAAACCTCCAGACCAACCGGGATCTCGTGTTGGAGCCAATGAAGGCCGAAGATGTTGATTCAGACGCAAAGCGAAGGTGAGTGTGATGTAACCAGTACGTGGTTGTTTGCTGCTACGAAATCCCGCAAGCATTCTATGATTAATTAACACAGCACACCTTCAAAGGGACATTGTTTGCCCTTGGTAGCCCATTAGCATAAGCGGCACTCTGTCATGCACACGTGCCAAGAAGTAGGGGATTTTGTGGGCGGTTTCACGTATCCACAGCCTGCCACTCACTTTTCTAAAATGGACATTTGACCATGCCGCTGTGTTTTCTTCTTTTTGTTTCTTCTTTTTTTTAGGCAAGCATCTCCAGTATCGGCTTCAATATCTTTGCCATGTTTACTTCCAGGATCTTTGGACAAGCACCGCGCCGCGAAATACTAAGCTCAGCGGATTTGGGGCGTGCTGTTGGCCCCAAGAGTGAGCCTGAGCCCCTCCAGGTTGGGAGGGCTCACCCCTATCTATTCATCGGCCACGGGTTTGTGAACCGTGTGTCAGCAACTTGAATAGCAATATCATAGCAATCTCTTCCTCACATCATGTTTTTTTTTGGGGGGGGATATTTTTTTCAGGATGAGCATTGCATTCCTTGGTCCTTTGCTAGCCGACATGCCAGGAGCCTTTGCCAAAGGCTAGTGCTGGAAGTGGAGGACGCGGCACTTGGCACTTTCAAGAGGTTGAACACTGGTTCCCTCGATTTTGCCTTGTGGTGGCTTTGAACGTCACCTGGGTTGCCCGTTTGTTGGTCGGGTGGAGTTTGGGTGGAGTGATGTTCGAACGGGAAATATTGGGAACCCTGTTGGCCTTCCCAATGCTTGCTTGTTGTCAGTATGGAATGTGAGAACACCCCTGTGCCGACCACGGCAATGGTTGCAGCAGGCTCAGTTCTCACGGCGAATTCCAAGTATATGTCTGCCACGCTGCTGTGTCGAAGCTTGAGCCGAGGCTTGACATCAAATTAAAGAAATGCATGCTGGGCCTTTCGTTGCTGGATATGGAGTGGGAATCTTGCTGGTTCGCTGCCAATCAAACCGCTGACCACGGCGCCAAAACAGAGAGAGGACTCTCGTCGACGTGCCGAAACACAATCCGGACCTCATGTGTCATCGCACAGTGCAAGTAAATCTTCTCCAGATGCTGCTCGCTGCTTCTCGATTATGCGATACGAGCTATCCGCCTTGTCAACACGAAAAGCTTGCTACAACATGCACGAAACTGCCATCTATCATGACTTCTGTGTACGTCACATAATGTATAAGTGTATATACATCTAAATATACATATATGAATTTTAATTTTTGTGTATGTATACATATATATATATATATATATATATATATATATCTATACAGCTATATGCCCTGCGGATGTCCAAATTCACATCCTCGATTCACTGGGCTCCAGTTCCGTGGATTCACCGCTCCGGTCCAAGAGTGTAGCCCATGTGCAATGGGAGGCCGACGCGGAAACCCCCCGGGTTTCCCCTTTGGTTCATGATTCAGGCAACTCACTCTAAGCTTCCAAACCTAACCCCAAAACGACCTTCGTGCACAGGAGCGAGTGGCCAAGCAAGGCACCACCCTGCCGGAGAAGTCTTGGCAGCTTGGGCTGACCCGGGTCTTCATGAAGGACGAGCATCTGGGTCCTCTTTGTCGGCGTGTGTGTGTGTGTGTGTGGGTGTGGGTGTGGTTGTGTGTGCGCGTGCGCGCGCGCGTGCGTGCGTGCGTGCGTGCGCGCACGCGTGCGTGCGTGCGTGCGTGCGTGCGTGCGTGCGTGCGTGCGTGCGAATGGAGAGTTTGGCTCAGCTTGTCTTCCAACCATTTCATGGGTCCCCTCAAAAGACACGCCGGAAGGTTTTCCTGCCACCAGCAAAAATTAAACACGCAGGAGGAATAGCTCTGAAGGCCCCTAGCTTTGGCCTCAGCTTTAGGGTGCCCGAACGCAAGCTTGGGTTGGTTGATCCCTCAATAAACGGACATAAAATCCCTTACTCAAACTCCGAACTTGCGCACCCAGGTCAGCGGAAAACCTTGCATTGGCCTTCCCGGAGATAAATCCAATTAACACCATTGAGTTTTGATGGCCATTTGCCGTGTTCTCCAACTTAGATGGTGCAATGTTTGGGTGGACAATATGGGCTGCCGGGCTGACTCCCAAAAATGCGCCTGTTTTGGGAACACCCCGTGGGCCCTTTGTGAGAAGTCAGCGGTTCCCTTTTGCAGATTGCTTTGAATCACAATCAAAAGCTGTGCCAACCTGAACGTCACGTTTCGCAGGAAGACTTGGAGAGGCGGATGGAGCAGATGATTGTGGAGTCTGCCAAGAGGCGAACAAACACCATCTCGGGTCTCGGGTGCGGGGCTTTAGTGGGCCTTTTGCCTGTCCTGCAACAGGTTCCTTTGAACCACTTTTCGGTCCCAGTTAAAGTGAGCTTCCTTATGGTGGGGTGGTGTTCAAAGGGGAAAAATGTAGGCAGCCCTTAGACAGACAGTTACCCCAAAAGAGCCTTGCAGCACTCTTGGGGTTGAATGGATACACATGTTGGCCACGCAAACCACAGCTGAGTTGGAGGACCCCCCCTGAAATATGTCATGTTGGGAATCGTTTGGGAACCCTGTTGTAGTTTCAAGCACAGAGAGGCCAAAGGCAAAGCTTAAAACATGAAAGCTCATTCATCCTTTCTGGTTAGCTCCTGAGGATTGGATCAGTTGACATGGTGGCAAAAGGGGGCCAGCAGAGGCAGGATGAAAATTTCATGCCCTGCATATTGTACCACACCTTTGACTCCCTATTGATGATAATTGGATGGCGAAGTCACTCGCTATGACCGATAGGATTGGTCCTCTGCTGGTTTTGAGAGGACATGGACGGCCACACAGCAGCGCAGAAGCAAAGTTTCAGTGTCGTCCTGTTCATGCGCAAACCCCGTACCGCATCGAGCGCAGCGTAGTTTTTGCCCGTCAGAGTCAGAGTGGCTTACAGAAAGAGCGGAGCTGTCGGACCTCTGACCTTTTCGGACCTTGGACCTTGGGGCCATGTTGGCACTGGCATCCTGATCCAAAACCGTGCCAAGTGGAAATTGTTTTGACATACCCGTACAGCTCATTGGTGCGCGGCACTCTTGAACCGCGGTCGGTCAAAAGGTAGACCCTTCAATGGCTTAGTAGTCAGATGTTCACTCCTCCTTCCTGCGACTTTGATGGTCTGCACAGGGTCAAGATACAATGGGCGCGTACATGGCGAATGCTTCTAAGGTGCAAGATGCAACATGAGATACCCGCGGAAGCTACCCGCACCTGCAAGCTGCACATGTTTTGAGCACCCAACCTCAGACCCACTCCCGAGCAATCCGGCGACTGACTTCCACCACAAGTGGCCAAACCTCACCATACTGTGCGAGCCTTGGCCGTTACTCAAGAACACACAAACAGGCATGCATACACAAGATAGGCATGGCTTTCTCCCAAATTGGAACCCTCAGAACCGCCCAGAATTCCAGGGGTTGGGTGGCTTCCCTTGAGCCGCCACTCTGCTCCGCAGGCAGGTGCAGACGATCCAGCGGTGCTGGCGGGGCTTCTGCGGGCGCCGGCGCTTCCAAAACCTGCGCCGGGCTGCGCTGCAGTTCCAGGTGCTGGGGGCCGGGGGTGGTTTGCCACTGGTTGAAACATGTGGAAACAACTCTGGAGGGAAGCGGTGACAAGTCGGACTGTTTGGTGGGGTTTGTTCGAAGTAGGGGACTTTTTCCCGGGCACTGGTGGCATTCCACCCACCTCGATTTCCAGGCCATTGCCCGCTCGGTTTTGGCGCAGCGCCGGTTCCAAGACAAACAGCGAGCGGCGCAGCAGTTGCAGGCGGGAAGGGAGGCGAGGGGGCTTCAACATGAGGGTCTTGATGTGTGTGTGTGTGTGTGAATTTCAGCGTTGGAACCGCCTCTCAAGTGGTTGGTGGACGTGAACCCCCACCGAAATGACGTCCATCAAAGGGTCCCCAATAAACAATGTATAGCGGCACTGGTTATTTATGTCTTTGGTTTGATTAGCTCAAGTATACACAATGGATTCCAAATATGTTTGGTTTACAAAGTCCAATATTGCTCTACGCTATTTTTTCCTGATCATGCGCAAGACTGGTTTAGTGCAGCATCATCCCATGAAAACGATTTGGGCCACTCTTGTAAACAACAGGCTAAAAGCCACGTCTGCCAGGTGATTTGCACGTTATGGCCCTCAAACCGAGGGAAGCGTTTCCCCACACCGCCGAGTTGCCTGAGGCCATCTTCCAAAGCTTCCGCGCCCAGTCCCGCTTCGCCGCCCGCCGGCGTGCGGCAGTAGAGGTGCAGGCGGGCGGTTGCGGGGGGGCACTGGTTTTTGGAGTCAGACGTCCAAAGCGCTCAAAATAAGGGTAGGGTGCACCCAAAACGAGGGATGACGTTGCAAGGGTTCGGTTTGCAACCTCTGGCCTTGTCAAGAGCTGGTTGTTTTCACATGGGTTAACCAACTCATTGCCTCAACGCGGAAAGCAGCCTCCTTGCCACTTGATTTTCACTCCAAAGGACGAATAATCTCCACCGGCCCCATGGCCAAAGCCGAGTTTGGATGGTGTATGAAACCACCAAACAAATCCTTGTGTGACCGCATGGAGATGGCGATAAAGACTGCACTTAGCGAACCAATGTATCCAAGCCCAGAACTTCGAAATATACTTCGAGGTCATAGGTTACACATGGAGTTCCGTGTACTGGACAACAATGTGAGCACCGCTCACAGACTCATCACGAAAAGTGAAAACTTGACTTGCCCAGGAGACTGGAACACCAGTGAAGAATGGGCACACACCACACACAACTTGCTCTCACGGCATGGATGGACTGGGTTTGGCAACACGACCAAGCGCAGGATTGGTGGAGCTTGACAACGCAAAGCCGTGAAATCTGGCAACGGCTCTGCATTGCCTGCATGAGGCATGGCGGAGCTGTAACTTCTCCAAGTGGCTGGAATCAGACCGGCATGATGCTGCCGCATGTCAAAATGTGACATATGATGAGCATAGATGTAAGCTTGCGAGACAGGCTGCTGACACGAGCTTTGCTCATTTTGGCTTCCTCAGTGGAGCATTTATGTCGCCAGCTGCTCTGGATTTTGCGACCAATGCCGCCATGCTGTGCCCCTTCTGCCACGCCGAACATGGTGACACAGTACACATGTTGTGGCAATGCCAAGCTTCACGTGCCAGTGAAGGAACAACTGACGTGACTGTTAGGCCCGCACGGCCGCGTGATGCACTTCAGTCAGAGCAGACTTGCATGGCCTGTGGGTCGATGCGAGCGTGTTGATTTGTCAACCATGGCATGGGCAATTCATGTTCGGCGGCGTGTTTTGGACCAAAGCTACGGACATGTCACACGGGCCTGCAAATCTCCACAATGACCACCATGAATACATGTTGCATAACGCGCATGGGCACCAGCTGGTGTGTGCGCTTAAACATTTTTTTTTTTTCTCGCACGTGCACCAACCGGTGCGTGCACTTGGCATTCACGGCTTCACTTGTTTCTGGCGGTTGTCTTTAATAAGTTTAAATCATTATATGTCATGAACCCACTTCTTGACTTTTCTGCATCATCCTACGATGAAGCAGTGCGAAGGATTTACACTCTCTTGACACTGCATCTTGTCGGGTGCAAGCTACTTCTCTGCGGTGAGTATCTACCTGGGTGTCATCGCCTTCAGAACTATATATATATATATGTTTTCACATAGGTTGTCAGTGTTTTGCGCTTGTGAACCATGACAACCCACATTTTGACGAGGACCAAAGTGGACCGCCCGGGGGCAATGTGGGTTGCTTTCCTTATGGTGCCCCACTCAAACCAAGCTGAACGCCCTCAAACAAACAAACGAAGGAACAAACAACCAACCCCCCGACCTACCAACTCACCAACACGCACATCACCGTGCTACTTCTCGTGCCACTTCTCGAGGCCTGTCTCCGCACCGCTGCCGCCGTGGCACGGCTGGCAGCCGCCAAGGCCAGGCCACCGGAGCCTTTGGAGCCACCGGAGCCGGAGCCGCCGGAGCCGGCGCCGCCGGAGCCGGAGCCGCTGGCGCCGGTGCCGGCGCCACTGCCGGCAACGGCGCTCGCGGCGCCGGTGACGCCTGCACCTGCAGTTGACTCGGAGAAGGCGAGGAGAGGGCCGAAGAGTGTACTTCCATTTGCTTAAGGTGATGGTTGATTTTCCCATTTGGTGTTGGAGGAACATGGTCAGTGTCAAAGGCGTTTTGGGTTTAATGGCACCTCCAAGAAGAGTTATAGTATAGATCTGATGCTTGAGACGGAGCACTGGCATGTGTGTGTGTGTGTGGGTGCGTGCGTGCGTGCGTGCGTGGGTGGGTGCGTGCGTGCGTGCGTGCGTGCGTGCGTGGGTGTGTGTGTGTGTGTGTGTTTGTGCGGAGCATCAGATTTACCCTGATGCCAACTTTTCAACATGCAGGGGAGTTCATGCTGGAGCCGGCCCGGGGGGGTCTCCAGCCAACGAAGACGCCCCCCGGTGTCCGGGTCCAAACGTACCTGCGGGGCTGCGCCTGGGCCATTGTCATGGCAGCTGGTCTTTTCTCCAAAGCCAGCTGAACCCCAGCTGTACTCGAGACTCACCAGTTGTACTCGAACGATGAGAGACTCATCAGTTGTACTCGAGACTCATCAGTTGTACTCGAACGATTAGCATCCTCCCTTGGGAGTTGAAGTGTGATCACCCCATCTCGGGGGAACCTCGGGTGTACCCATCGTGTGACCCCGGGCCGGTTCGCCGGAAAATTTGACCTCAACGTTCTTATCATAGTCCAGCGGAATTTCACGTACGAGGTTTCACTAAAGGGAAGACAGCCACCAGATCATAGCTACGTCTCACAAGTGCCTGGGAGCTGTTGCTGATTGCATCAACGCCGTTGAACTTGATGTTCTGGTTGTGCAATGCTCGGGTTGCGCGTGCATGTTCTGTTTGCGCAATGCTTGGTAAATGATGTGGCGGATCGTCTTGTCAAGGTCGTCTGGCAGGCTGAGCCACCCCTTGCGTAGGTCCGTTTCAAGGTCGTCTGGCAGGCAGAGCCACCCCTGGCATAGGTCCGTTTCGAAGTCGTCTGGCAGGCAGAGCCACCCCCTCGAGTAGGTCCGTTTCAAGGTCGTCTGGCAGGCTGAGCCACCCCTTGCGTAGGTCCGTTTCAAGGTCGTTTGGCAGGCAGAGCCACCCCTGGTAAAGGTCCGTTTCGAAGTCGTCTGGCAGGCAGAGCCACCCCCTCGAATAGGTCCGTTTCAAGGTCGTCTGGCAGGCTGAGCCACCCCTGGCATAGTCGCTCGCCCCTA